CATTGCAAGACAAATTTCTATGATTTCAGTAATTAATTTGCCATTGCAAAGTTTGACGCACAACCGGGCAGCCAGTCAGCCCAGGCCAACTGGCTTACCCAACCAAATAGAGTCCGGCAGTCTGGCTGTCCGGCAGTCCGGCTGTCCGGCAGTCTGGCTGTCCGGCAGTCCAGCGGAGAGTCATCCTCGTCATAGTCCGTCTGCTATTTCTGGTGGTTTCTAATTAATTGGACAGCTGTGCGGCTAAGCCGCCGCATATGGATGCCACACACTCGTGCAGCTCCAGCTCCCAGCGCCCGGCTCCAGGCAAAGTTGGCTGCCCCACCGCCCGATTGGAAATGGGGTTTTGTGCTCAATTAGCCAGTGACCCTCATTTGGGTTGGGCCAACTTTTTGATGATGACTAAAAACCTCAAACCCTTTGCCCTTAATTTAACTGAATGGCAATGGCGATGACGCTGGCGCTGGGGAGCTGGCGCTGACTTTTATTTGGACATTTGTGTGAGGCCATGGCGTTTAATTAATTGTATTCGGACATGCTAAACTGTCGAAAAACTTCGCTCGATCACATGCAAATGCCAGAGGTCAATGGGGGCGGGCGGGGAGCCAAAAGGAGTCCAACAACGCCCCAATCAGCCATCATGGGCTGGGCTGACTCTAGCAGTGATTGCATTCTAGCAACGAGTATCTGGGCTGTTGCAGCAATTTGCTTTACCTGGCTGGGCAAACAGCCCAACGATTAATTAAAAATTCAAATGACTGCAACTGAAGTTAAATAGATATTGTGAAATAATCTGTCGACTGTTCGGGGCGCTTGGGGGGGGCGGCAAATCAAATGAATGAAGCGCAGCCAAGAAGCGAACCGATTGAACCAGGCTACTCCGCTGAATAAAATGCGCAGGAGGAGAAATGCAAACTTTTTCAACGTCATTTTTAATGAATTTTCAACAAAATGTGCCAAACGTGTTGAGCGGCAAAGCGGGCAGGGCAGGGCAGGCAAGAACGAACGAGAGTAAAAATAGCAATTAAAATTACCAAGCGAATGCCGGAGCCAAGCAAAGCAAAGGAAAGGACAGCGAGGTTGCCAAAGGTACAGCAGAAGGAGGGAGGGATGGGTGGAACTCGGCCAAAATGATAATAATTTGCACATTGATTGAAGGCAAAGCAAACTGCCAAAAAAGAAAGTGCGCTGAGTGGGTGTAATTAAAAAAATTTCTCACTGCCACCGAAGGTCAATCAATCGAAACTAATGGGAGGGAAAAAAGCTGTGGAAATCTGAGCAAATACATTTGCTAAACTGTTTGCCATTCTGCAAGCTTCAAAATTATAAAGCAAAGTTTAGGGAGACGGAGAAAAAAAAGTGCGTACAGAATTTTAAATTAATTTTGCACGACAACTTTTCAGCGAACTCGAAGAGGAAAAGCCAGCCCAGCAGAGCTGCTGCTTTGTGATTTCCACCACACAGAATTCCCATTCGCATTTCCCCACTGGGTCCAACATACCCTGTACAAAAAGTACTCCTTAAAGGCTATATGGCCGCAGGCTTCCATGCAAATTCCCTGCCCTAGGATTAAGTGGCAGTGCAGGGCATGGCCTGGGTCCAGCATTTCTTGAGTTGTTTTGCTCTAATATTATTTGCAACAAACAAAAGCCAAGCCCCATGCCTTGGCTGGCATCTCCTGTGGGCTAACAGAGCCAAAATCAACTTCTGCAGCTGACTTTTGAGCGAAAACTTTTGCTTAAAGCTGTAAAGGCGAATGGATGGCTGATGGCCAAGCTGCCGGGCCCCTGGATGGCTGGATGGCTGGCTGAATTCCTGGATAACTGGCCGACTGACGGCTGCCGGTGGCCGGAGGGCCGCAAATCTTAAGTGAAAATAAATAATTCACACCTGCAGCAAGCTGGGGAAGCCTCGACTCGAAACCTCGGCAGAGCAGGGCGGGGCACACACACACATAGATAGACATACAATTACCAACTTGTGGTGTAAAACTTCAGTTTCGAACTCTTGGCTAAATTGCGGTTTAAACTTGAAGCCGGCAAAGGTAACGAGAGCAACCAGAGAGCAGGGAGAGAGAGCCTCCAGTGACCGACCCCGGCGCGGAGGTGGCACAATTACGCCATTAACATTAACTAAAGGCAGAGGCGGTGGCGGCAGCGGAGGCGGGGAAAATAAAGAAAAAGCTGGGGAAGAAGCTGGGAAAAACCCTGGGAAAAGCAAGGGAAATACACTTGCACAGAGGCAGGCAGGCAGCAGCAAACAATGCTAGGAGCCAAAAAGTTTTATTTTCTAAGAAATTAAGACTTAATTGGTAAAAACAGCAACAACAACGAAACAATAAAGACGTACGACAAGATATTGAAGTGGGGGAGGGGGTGAGTGGTTGGTTGAGGGGTTGGTAGGTCGCCAGTAAAAACCAACATCAATGAAAAGTTTAAGCAAAACAATAGCAGAGGCAAGTAAACAACGTCGATGGATGTTGCCTGCCTGAGTGCCCGCCCTCTCAGTCCCCAAAGCAGCTGAAAAGCCACCAAAGATGTGTACTACCCACTGGTAAATACACACAATACATACACTATACACTGGGCGAAAAGTTAGATATATAAGTCAAATGGAGAACAAATGCAAAGTTGCTTGTGAAACATCGAAAGTATCGAAAGCTTTAACTGAATATTTAATAACTCTTTAAGTGAAAGTAGTTTCGTGTGGCTTTGTTTTTCTCTGTGTTCTATTCTGCCATATATATACATATTTTTAAGCGCCTGTGAGTCTTTTGTGTGATTGTGTAGAGCAGTAGTTGTTACTCATACGCCATGTTGAACACAGTAATAATATCGACAACAACGAAAAAAAAAAAACGAATAAAGCGAAGCAAGACAAAGACAAACCCTCGAGTGAAGTCGAGACAATTGAAGAGTGCTCCAGCCATAATTATATCAAAATATAAATACCTACAAGAAATAAAAACGCGAGGCAAACATCAGCAAGTGAAGGACAGCCACCAGCCAAAACAAATAGACGTTTTTTAATTATTCCACAGAACAGAAAAAAGAAGTGTACACGGCGCGACTCTGCACTCTGCACTGCGTCTCGAGTCCAGAGTCTGGAGCCAAAGACGGCAAATTAAAGACATTAAAACTTTTAATAGCTTAGACGGCCTTATCGAGCCCGACACCACAGCACCACAGACATAGAGAGAGAGAGAGGGAGCGGGAGTGGTAGCCACAGACATGCAGAGACAAGAGACAAATTAAAACATGTCTTACAGGCACAAGATATAACAGAATAAACAGCCAGGGCAGCAATAAGCAGCAGAGTCAACAACAATATCACAGCAAACGAACATTAATAATATCAGTCAGCAACTGGCGGCGTAATTACATTCACATTTTGCACAGCTCTCAGCTCACATTTGAACTTAAACTCAAAGCTCCTATCCAGCCGCATTTAAATACAAATATATTTTGGATAAATCTGCTCGCTGGAGAGACAGACAGATCGGGGCAGATAGTGCCAAAAAGTTGATAATTTTGTTGCAGTTTTTTCTTATAGTATTTTTTAAATGTGGCAGCGTTGAAGCATTCACCTTTCTCTTTCACTTTCTCGCTGAAATGAAGAACTTATGGTACATAGCGCATACGCACCGTTAGCCGGGAAAACCAATTTGTTCGCCCCCAGTGTCTGGGCTCATTGGTTTCATTTGTTTTTCAGCTGGCAGCCACTGAAAATGCGGTCATGTTGTCGTTGTTTATGGGGCCACATAAAATAGGCGGCACAAGTAAGTAATAATCGCCAGCATTTGCCATATTTCACAGGCAAATAAACTCGTTTCCAGTGCGTGAATGGGTGGGTGGATGGGGCTAGGCAACCGAAATGTCATTTAGCAATTACATAACCAAGCAAACTGCCGTAGGGCCATGCTAAGGGTGGGGCTGGTAGGCTTTCTCATTTAAGTATTTGCGCAAAAAGTATCTCGCAAAACATTGCGCCAATGCTCAGTGGCAAAGCCATTGCCATTGCCAATGCCATTGCCAATGCCAATGCCGGGCAATTTCACATCAAATTTGGCGTCAATATCAATTACCAGAGCGCAGGCACGTCAAGTGTCCGGAAATGAAGGCATTTGTCAGGGCTCACAATTGGGACTGTCGAATAATTGCAAAACTAGCAACATCCCCAACATAATTACAGGCGGGGGCGGGGCAGAAAGGGAAGAAGGCCTTGAAAATTTATCTGCGTTCAATTAAAAACTTTTCAAATTTCAATTAAATGTGAAATTGGCATATTTAGCCGAAATGCTTGACGAGTGAGCGAAGCAGCCAGAGACGGACAAACCGGACCGAAAAGGAATCAAATGCTGTGAACGAAAGGCCAAGGAAAGCAAGGAAAGGCGAAGCCCCAAAAAGAGGGAGAGGGAGAGAGTGCCAAAGGACCATTTACCACCATTCAGCATTCAGCATTCGGCAGCATTCAGCATTCGGCTGGCATAACTAAGCCTGGGGGATTATTTTGTCAATTTTAAATGTCCTGCCATTTACAGCATTCAAATTCAACTCGCCTTTGTTATGCCCCAGCTTGTTGTAGAAATGTTTATGAAGCAATTAGGCGCTCTGAACTGTGAACAATGCGCCGAAATGACTGCAACGGAAATTTAAAGACACCCATCGGTAGTGGCTGGTGGTAGGGACAGGGACAGGGGCAGGGGCAAGCAGGAAGCATCGAAAGGGTTTTGTGTGTGTGTGTGTTTTGGCTTTAAGCATTGTGCCGGCTCATCGTGACTGCAAAAAGATTAAAATCTTGTTACGCCTTTGCCTGATTTGAGGCCCTTTGTTGAGGCCCAAAGATGACTAGCTGGCTGGCTGGCTGGCTGGGGCTGGCTTTTATATTCGGATCGCCCCTACCCTGACTGCCTGGCCACACTTGAAGTTTGCTAGCTTTTTACCGCTGAACCGTAACACATGTTTGTGGGGGTTGCTGCGTTAGGGCGGCTGGGGGCTTACCTTGGCGCGCATCTGGGCGAGCACTTGGACAATGTCGCCGCGCTGACACGCATACATAAGACGGCTGCAGCCCTCGGCGAGACGTCTTTTTATGGCCGCCGACTGTGACACTGAATCCTGGCTGGCTGCTAGCTCGACCACTGGCACTGGCCCGGCCAGTGGCTCCGTTTCTGGCACGTCCACTCCAGCTTCCGCTGCCGCATCCGTGTCCGCATCCTGGCTGTTGCTCGGCATAGCAATGACTTTGTCTGGCTGCCCCAGCTGCCCCTGCTGCCGCTGCTGCTGCCTGGTGCGTGTCCGACGTGGCAGTGGACTCTCGAATTGCAAATGCTTTTTGGCGGCCTTCAGACGCGGCGGTTTGGCTGGTCCCTGTATCGGTACCGAGACCGTCACGCGCTTCACTTCCGGTTTCGTAGGCTTCTGCATCCTCTAATGTTTATATTTGTGTTTGTTTCTCTCTCAGCTCTTTCTGCTCCTCCTGCCCTTCGTGTACTTTTCGCTGGTTTTCTGTTTCACTCATTTTACGTTGCTTTGATGCATTTTGGGTTCGTCTCTTTGCCACTTGGTTAGCTTTGCCCCCACACCGCCTATGCCGCCGCCTGGCTGCCACCGCCCATGCATAATTAAACACTAATTTGTTTGCTCACAACTGCTTGGTTATGGCTGCCTCGATGCGGGTCCTCCTCGCCGCCGATAGTTTGCGGTTTACGTTGACAGTTTTGCTAGTTCAAAGTAAATACATTTTGGGCTTTTGAGCGTAAACGGAAGTGGCGGAAGTGCGCGTGCAAGCAAGAGTCGTCTTTGTGTCTCTGTGTCGGTGTGTCTCTGTGTCGGTGTGTCTCTGTGTCGGTGTGTCTCTGTGTCGTTGAGTCTCTGTGTCCCCCGTGTGTGTGTGCTAATATGCGCACAGCTTTCAGTCGAACGCCTTTTAAATTTTCAACAGAACGCGAACGGGATTAACGCGTGCGCCAAGCCGCGGCAACGGGCTCGTCAATAATTAATTTCGGTTTTTATCAAAGCGTGAGCAGCGCGAGGGACAGAGTCAGCACACACATGCTGGCTGACTGGGGAATAGGTCGACGGTCGACAGCCAAATAGACAGCGAGAGTGGCTTGAGTTCGGGCTCCAGCTGCCGCCTCTGCGTCCTGTGTGTGCTGTGTGACGGGGGCGTTGACAGCAGCGGCGCCACGTTGCTCACTAAAGTATGCCATGAAAAATTCAAGGTGCCTGCATTTCATTTAAATTTCCCTTTTTCACACACAAGCGCGCCGCTCCTTATGCGCGATTTCAAAGTGAATATTCTGTGTTAAATCGCGCGGCAAATAGTTTACGGAAAAATTTCACCGCAAGCAGCACTACAAATTCTTCGGGTTATTTTTAGCCACAGATTTTTGTATTCATTTGAAGTTGTTCAAGGTGCGCTAAAGCCGATGAAGCAGCAGCCCAGCAGCAGCCGCTTAATGAAAAAGGGAAAATCTGCGAAAATCTATCGAACTGATTGCAAAACCAAAATTAAATTATATAAACACAAGAGCGCGAAAGTGAATGGAATTGGAATGAAAGTGGAAAGTGGGAAGTGGAAAGTGGGATGGTTGAATGGTGAATGGGAAGTGGGAATTGGGATTGAGCAGGCGCTGCATTGATGGCATTGGCGATTGCCGAGGATTTAACTGGCAACGACTGCGGCTTATTCCGAGTCTGTTTCCCGGCTTCGATTGTTGCCTTTCAAGCGATTTCTGCCGCATCCTCCCGCCAGCCGCCCGTACCGAATTTACATTTCATTTGCCGTCAAGGCGGCTGCCTGCTGCCTCTGCGCCAGTTGATGATGATTTTGGTAAGGTTTACGAGGCGTTGAACAGCCACGGCAATGGCGCAGACGAAGAGGCAGGCGGGCTTTTAATAAATTAATAATAAAAAAAAACGCATAAAATAGCAGCAGCAGCAGCGGCAGCAGTTGCCTGAGAAATGCAATAAAATGTTACGTTTCTCTTTCTTTTTTTTTTTGGCCAGGCATTTTGAAGTTTGAGTCCATTAGCTGGGGGAGGCCAGAAAAACGATGATAAAGCAATCATCGGAGAAACGAGAGTAACGAAAGTAACGAAGTAAGTTACTTTCCTCTTTTTTTCTGCTGCTTCTTTTTGCTCTAAGGCAATCGAGTAAATTTTTGGAAATTGAGTGGCAGCCGAGAAGTGCAAATGGGCCTCAGCTAATAGCAGTGTGAGTGTGTTTGGAACATTCGGATTGAATAACATTATTGCAGAATGGCAATTAAGCTGCAGCTGGCACACACACACACACAAGACACAGACACGCAGTCATTACACAGAGGTAACAGACAGACACACAAATAGGCCTCCTCCCTCTCCTCTTCTCACTCTCTCTGTGTCTCTTTGGGCCCACTGCGTATATGGGCATAATCATAATCATTAAACTATTTTATGGTGTTGCCATAATTATTCTATTATTAAGTACCACAGCATTTGTCATGCACGCAATGCCAACAGAATTTCCCAGGCAATTCCCCCCCGATGCGGTTGCTGCTAGAGTAGTTGTTGTTGCAGCTGTTTATAAATGATTAAACCTGGCCCACGTTGCGCCTGAAGGAGGCTGCCTTGCCAGAGCTTGCCTGGGCTGGGCTTGCCTTGGCCATGGCCCTTGTCGAATGTATCTTTGCGGGCTCACACAATGTCTGTGATTGTGCGGCGGCGGCAGCCTCAACAATTCAAGTGTGCTGGTGTGGTTTTACCCCCTACCACCACCCCACCACCCACTTGGGTGTGCGTGTGTGTAGCTGTGTGTGCGCTGTGTGGATGCTGTTAAACGCAAACTTAGCCGCTTGGCAAATAAACATTTTAGCAGAATTTACTACCAAACTGACAGCTGTCAGCTTTATAACCACCATCAAACAATGGCAACAACAAGCACACGAACAGCAGCATGTGGGGATGTGTTGGCAAAGGTGTGCCCACACCGCAGCAGCAGCAGCAGCAGAAGTAGTAGTAGTAGTAGTATTTGCCTCGAGAATCACAGAGACAGGGAAGAGAGAGAGTGAGAACAGCGACAACTAAATACACATATACACAGGAAGGAAGGTAGCTAAAGTAGCTAAGCACACAACAACACCACCCAACATTACACCACACACACACACACGCACACAACACACACACACACACACCCCATGTGTGTGGACACATGGACGATGGGTCTGCCTTCTGCCTTCTGCTGCTTGTGCTGCTGCTGCTGCTGCCAGGCAGTTTCACCCACTTAACACTTCATTGAAAAACCACTCAAAAGCCACTCCACCCACACGAGTGCCACGAAGTCCGTGAGTCCGTGGGCATGGGGCGTAAGGCTCTACGGTATTCCTGTACAGCCGTGCAAATAAACGTACCGTGTGTGTGTGTGTGTGTGGATTGGATTGTGCTCCACTACACTGACTATGCGACTATACCCCCCACCCCAACCCCTTCCAACCACTGTAGAAGCTTCTGTTAGCCGCTAATAGATGGCGACAGTGGTGCAGCTGCTTTATGATCCGAGAGAGAGAGAGAGAGAGCGAGCGAGAGTTAACATTCTCCGTGCCAAAGGCATGCCAGCTAATTTTCTCTTAGCTCAAAGCATTCCATCTCTTGCCTTGGCCGCTGAGAGCGAAGCGAGAGTCCGGCGTAAAAAAATAAACGAGCGGACAGCAACAAAAACAAAAAAAAAAAAAAAATCACACAAAATGTTTGACATTTTGCTGAGAAATTTAGCTGCTGCTGCTGCTGTTGCTGCTGCTGTTGCTGTTGTTGCTGCTGCTGCGGTGTGTTTGACTCTCTCTGGTTCGGCCATTTGCCCCTTTGGGCAGCATAGAACGTCAAGTGCAGATCTGCTTCGCGCACGGTATTCGGGGTTAATTACACAAATTTTTGTGCGCCGAATTTATATATATATTAAATTAAGGAAAAACCGAGTCACTTTGGCACTGGACGGGACGAGCAAACGGGGCAAAACGGGGCGCACAGGCTCTGCTGGAATCCACTGCACAACTGGCTGTCGCCGGGGCACAGGTGTGTCCGTCGTTCGTATGGCATCTGGACGGGTGGGTCTATAGGTGTACATATGTACTGTATGTGTGTGTGTGTACTGTATGTGTGTGTGTAGTGTGTGGTCGGTGCATGCTCTGTGTTATTGTGTTGGACGCCACAGTTGCCATGGAGATGGACAGTGAGCGAAATGGCCACTCGGCGGGACATGCGTCGGTGCTGCTGGCTCAGCTCTGCTCTGCTCAGCTCGTTGCTCGGTGCTTTGCGTGTCGGCAGTAGTCAGTCCAATCAACGCGGCAAAGTTTACAAAAGTTTGGTGGCATAATTGGGTTAATACCCATACGCCTGCCTCTTATTGGTTTTCGATTCGATACCAATGGAAAATCATGGCCAGCTGGCCGCAGTGGGGCACACAGTACAACAGTGCAACAGTAGAGCAGTAGAGGAGTGCCCCAGTGCTTAATGCAACATTGGTGCACTTGATTTACGTGCTACAAGTTGTAGTGGTGACGCAAATTGAAATGGCAAACTGTCAGCAACATGAAACGCCCGGCCCTGCTGCTCTCCGGCTCTGCTGCCAGCCAAAACAAAGGACTTAACTGCCTGACACACTGAGGGTTAAACGTTTAAATTTCAATTAAGTCGAAAGCCCCACAACACGCTACACGCTCTCCACTCCCCACACTCCACACTCGCCCCACACTCCCTCCACACCACGCTCGCCCCACACTCCCTCCACTCATCCGAGAGCCCATCAGCTCCATCAGCAACAGCAGCAGCAAAACGTTACAGCTCATAAATTTCTTGACTTGTGTCGGGATGTGTTAGTTTGGCCGACATTTTGCACTGCCACTCGTGGCAATAGCAGCCAAAGCCCAAGCCAGAGCCAAAGCCAGAAAAAAGTACCCTCAGTCGTGGGGTACGTCAAAGGCAGGAGAGCAGCAAAGCTGCTGCCTGAGGGAACAGCAGCAGCAGCAGCAGCAGCAGTAACCCTGGCTAAGGCGGCCAGTCACTTAAATGCCCCAGAAATAAACCGAAACTGCACACAATGTGCACAAGTTAAGGCAACTTTTGGCAGCTGCATTTGAACACTCACCAAAACGTGGAATTATGCCACAAGCAGTACGAATATTGAATGCCCTTGCACTAAAGATGATTGACTAAAAGCTGATTAAAGGGCATGCCACGGGAATGGCTGTAAGTTCTGCAAGTGCTCAGCGCATAGCCAAAGCTTCAGCTTAATCTTAACTTAAGCAGCAAATGCGAAAAGCTCTGCACGCGAAGGGTACAGAGGGGGCATGCTTGAGGCGTGGCCACAGCGCTGACATTTTCCGGGCAGCTCGCTGCAGTTCCTTTAATTAAAGTGGAGCACCACTCTGGCTCTGGCTCTGGCTCTGG